ACAACAGCTGGGGCTCCTGTTTCTTCTATTTTTACTGTCCCCTTTCTGAGACTTCTATTGCAGTCATACTAGTATGCTCAGTGTTGGCTACAATTCTCTGATTCTGTGTTTTTCAATATTTTTCTGTTCTTCTGATTGGGTAATTTAATTTTGCAGATTTTTATCAGATTTGTGCTTTAGACCATCTAGTGAGTTTTTTATTTTAGTTATAGCACTTTTCAACTCTAAAATTATCACTTGATTATTTTTAATGGCCATCACCTGCTGCCTCCCAGGGTACACATTAGCAGAAAGTTGGAGCCAGAACTCATACCCAGGCACCCTGATTGAGATTTGGGTTTCCCAAGTGGTAGCTTTACAACTGTGCTTCTACATCTGCCCCTCTTATTTTTATGTTTTGAACTCAGCTTTCAAGGGTTCACACTATTGTTACATAGGTTAGTGCTTAGCTAACGACTTCTTTTTTTTTAATTTTTTTTTTATTTTTTTTTTATTTTAAAAGTCAGAGTACACACAGAGAGAGAGGTCTTCCCTCTGGTGGTTCACTCCCCAATTGGCTGCAATGGCCAGAGCTGCACTGATCCGAAATGAGGAGCAGGGAGATTCCTCCGGGTCTCCCGCATGGGTGCAGGGCCCAGGGACTTGGGCCATCTTCTGCTGCTTTCCCAGGCCATAGCAGAGAGCTGGATCGGAAGTGCAGCAGCTGGGTCTTGAACCGGTGTCCATATGGGTTGCTGGCGCTTCATGCCAGGGTGTTAACCTGCTGCGCCACAGCGCTGGCCCAAACTAATGACTTCTTGAAGGTTATACCTCAACCCTTTGAGCCAGTAAGGCATTCACCCTCTGTTGGGGGTTCTGTATGCTTCAGGAGCACATTCAAAATTCAGTCCATTTTCATGTTCACCTCTTTTACTTTCCATTGGATTGTTTTAGGTGCCCCTGTGTATACACATGGGTTTTCTCAGCCAAGCTTATGTGGAGAGCTTGCTCTCTATCAGGTTTCCAGTGTCTACTCTCAGCCCCCCAAATAGCTGGCATTTTGCCGAGTTCAGGTCTCTCTTGCAGATGTGTGTGGCTTTGTATTCAGCCAGAGTTGTGTGGAAGGCATAGGACCTTGCCTCAGTATCTGTCAGAATTATCAAGGCCCTATGTGGCTCTCCTGTTTGCAGAATCTGACTGTTAAATTTCTATCTAGTCCTCAGGTTTGCCACCTCAGCTGGCACAGCAATCACAGGCTAAGAGGGCTGCAGGCTTTTTTGTTTCCCATTGAGTATGAACTTTTTTCTCTGCTTGGCATCAGAGTAGTCCCCTTTGACCTTGAAACTGCTGGTTTTCACAGCCAACCTCACCGTGATGGAACTTCCTTGTCAATGGAATTGGGGTTGTGGGGGATGGGTGCAGTTCCTGGCAGGATATGAGATTTCTATGGCTCTTATCAAGAAGTTGGCTGGCACTGCGGCTCACTTGGCTAATCCTCCGCCTGTGGTGCAGGTACCCTGGGTTCTAGTCCCGGTTGGGGCGCCGGATTCTGTCCCTGTTGCCCCTCTTCCAATCCAGCTCTCTGCTGTGGCCTGGGAGTAAGTACAGTGGAGGATGGCCCAAGTGTTGGGGCCCTGCACCCGCATGGGAGACCAGGAGGAAGCACCTGGCTCCTGGCTTCCGTTCGCCGGCTATAGCGGCCATTTGGGAGGGTGAACCAACAGAGAAGGAAGACCCCCCCCCCCCCCCGCCTGTCCCAAAAAAAAAAAAAAAAAGTTTTGCTATTTTTCATTAAAAATCTCATCTTAAAAGTGGTTTTTTTTTTTTTTTTTTTTTTTTTTTTTTTTTTTTTTTTTTTGCCTTTGGTTGGTTTCCAGACTATAGAAATGGTTGTTTTGGATGGTTTTATCCAATTTCGCAAATTTTTTTTGAGGATAAGATTTTTTTTTTTTTTGAAATGTCATCCGTGCAGCTCTAACAAATACTGTGGCTTTGGCTTTTAATTCTTTCTTTTTAAAGTCTTATTTATTTATTTATTTATTTAAGGTGGAGTGGAAAAAGGGAGAGATAACTTCTAACTGTTGGTTTACTCCCTGAATACCTGTGACAGACAGGGCTGGGCCAGGTTGAAGTTAGGAACTGGGAACTCTCTCTGGGTTTACTACATGATTTACAGGAACTCAAGTACTTGAGCCATTGCCTGCTGCCTCCGGCTCCAGGAAGCTGGATCAGAAGTGGAGGCATTGTGATATGGGATGTAGGTGCCCCAGGCAGCCACTTAACTGTTGTGCCACAGCACCTGCCCTGGGGTTGAGATTTTGTACTCCCTCAGTGGAAGTCCAAATAGAGAACTTGGATTTTAAACCCTAGGATTAGTATTTTTCACAGTCCAGTGCTCTTTACTCTAATCCATACTTCCTTGTAGGGATAGTTAACTGATCTGATTTTCTTGTTTGTTTGTTTTAAATATTGTCAACTTTTTTCTTTAAGATTTTTGTTTTATTTGAGAGGTAGAGTTACAGAGAGAAAGAGGAAGAGACAGAGAGAGGCCTTCCATCCTCTGGTTCACCCCTTAAAAGGCTGCAATCCCTGGAGCTAGGCTAATCTGAAGCCAGGAGCCAGGAGCCAGGAGTTTCTGCCCGATCTCCCATGTGGGTGCAGGGGCCCAAGGACTTGGGCCGTCTTCCACTGTTTCCCAGGCCATAAGCAGAGAGCTGGATTGGAAGAGCAAGAGCTGGGACATGAACCCCAGCCCAAATGGGATGCTGGCACTGCAGGTGGAGGCTTAGTCTACTATGCCACAGTGTCGGCCTCTCATTTTTTGTTGTTATTGTTGTTGTTTCTTGAAGAGATGACAGAGGGCTAGATGGATGAGTCTTGGTTCAAGTGTTAGGTTCCCACAAAGGGTAAGACTTTTAATTCTGAATAGGTATATTTGCAAACTCAAATTGAGATGATTTGAAAGATTTGGTGGCTCTTTGGAGAGTAGATGCGTTGTTTCTTCAGAATAAGCCAACTGTTTTTGAGTGTGCTTTTCCTATAATTTTCCTTGTTTCATAATGTTGAAATGTGCAGGTACCAGATTCATGGAAAAATGGAATTAAAAGATAAATTTATTTTGTTCCAAAAATTTTTGAAATCCATCCATCCATAATCGTTTCATGATATTTTTGGTGAACTTTTTGAAGATCCCCTTCATAAATACTGTAATTAGGATCATTTTACAGATAAAGAAATCAGTTCTCAGGTTAGGATCTTAACCATCTGTTAGCATTAGTATGAGGATGATATTTTAACCTGTTTCTTCTGGCTTCTCTTTGTTCTTTGTACTCCATATAATTGTTTCTCTATCATATCATAATTACTTGTAGAATCTTGATGATATAAATGTTTATTTTTATAGTAGTACTTGAGGTTAGACTAATTCAAAACAATCTTCCTGCATTTTTACTAAGGGCTGAAATTCTTTTCTTTCCATTGATACTCACAGTTAATCGGGAGCCCCTGTTTATTTAGGTAGTTATTTAGCAAACTGGTAAGAGTCAGAAGAAAAGATATCCCCATGGCAGCTTCCTCTGCCAGCTTCCTTTTTTTTTCTTACTCCATAGATGCAGATTCTGCCCAAGAAGCCCCTGCATTGCAGAGGGACTGGAGATCTGTATGATCTGTTTATTTCGCAATTGACAAGGGTAAGGGGGTTTTTTTGGGGGCGGCGCTTGGGTGCCCTGACTTTAGCTTTATGCAGCTGGGCTAACATTTATTTTGGGATTACTTAAACTTAGTATTTTAAAAAACCCTTTTATGAATTCTCTTTGCCCTACATTAGTTAAGTGCCAGATTATAATGTTAAAAAGCATTTATTATAATGGTGGTTTTTTTTTGTTTGTTTTTAAAGTCCTGTTCAGAAAAAGATAAAGATGATTATGTTCTAAAATTGCAAATCTGGGAACATTTAGATTATTAATAATATTGAATATATGAGGGTACTAAAAAAGTTTGTGCAAAAATAGTATTAAAAGATAAGTTTATGTTGGTGCCAAGGAATTGAAATCCATGAGTAATTTTTTTATCTTACACATTTTCCCTGAACATTTTGAAGACCCTATATATTGCACAGATTTCAAAATTTTTTGTACCAAAATAAACTTGTCTTTTAATTCCATTTCCACGAAGTTTTGAAGTACCTTGGTATGTAAGTTTAGTATCACATAAATAAAAATTTAAGAAAAAGATTTTGGATATATGGCTGTATCTATAACATGTCATAGTTATTCTTTATTAAATCACTTTGTTCCTGTTCCATAAATCTATCAATTTAGAGTGAAAAAGGACTTGTGGTTATGCTATAAACATTGTGGGTGGCCAGGGTGTCTTTTCCTTGCTGCTAGAAATTAATACTTCCTGAATTCTTTGTCTGTCCTAGATTTCAATGACATTTGAGTTATATCTTCAGCCTATGTTATATCTTGATCCTTAGGCTAAGTGTACAAGTGTAGTTGGTCAGTCTTATTGAAGCAAAGGTAAAGTTTTGTGGGTTTCATTTGGCAGGCTTACAGAACAAATGCCAGAAATGTTGGCATTTATGATGAAAGGATTAAAATAGATGAGGAAGACTTTAATGCTTTTAAGATCCTGGAAGGATTGGGCAGATGATGGTAGCGTTTGGTGGATAGTTGACGAGACTTGAATTGGTGATGGTCTGATGGACTTTTTATTTTTGAAGGTACTATTATACTTGATAGTCACATAACTTTTTTTTATCTAAAGAAATAGTGTACATTTCTGTAATTTTCTTCAGTATTTTTAGTATTCTGTACATCTCATATTTTAAAGTTGTGTTCTTTAAACATTTAATTTATAGTTTTTTTAAAAAATTCAACAGTAATATATGTTATTCTTACCACTATTAATAAATATTCCACTTTCTAGTGCTAAGATTTTTGCAAAGCTGTTTCTATTCTTAAACATCCAGAATGACTGTTTTGCCTTTTTTTTTTTTTTTTTTTTCTGTTTTCTTTAAGCCATAAGGATGAGTTTACCATTATTCCTGTACTGGTTGGAGCTCTGAGTGAGTCAAAAGAACAGGAATTCGGAAAACTCTTCAGTAAATATCTAGCGGATCCTAGTAATCTCTTTGTGGTTTCTTCTGATTTCTGCCATTGGGGTAAGTTCTAGACTTTAATGTATCATGGTAGATTATATACTTGTGCTTTAAGGTATCTTTTCATTCTAAACGCTGATTGTCAGTCTTTATCACTTTCCTTGGAAAGTTTACTTTTAGCAGCAGTGTTTAGAAGTGAATGAAAAAGTCTTTTGATCATTAAAAAGGATCAGATTATAATAGTGGATTATGGATACATTTCCAAAGGCGACTGGTATAATTGGATTCACACTGTGAGGGTATCCTTGCTTAGAACTGTTCTTAGTGGGAGTTAAGACCTTTTAACCCCATTTTCAGGTAGGTATGTGTGGTAGGTCCTCTGAAGGTAGTTTTGGTGGATGAAACAAATGCTCTTCTTTAGAATGCAGAAGAGCACTGTGTGCTATGCCAGTCCTTTTCTGCTTTTCCTTTTTTGTAATTAGTCTTTCTTTCTTTCTTTTTTTCCTTCGGTGCTTATTTTTTGCTCACAATTGCCATCAGTTTAGAGCTACCCTCCAAAGATTGTAACACGTTGGCTATTAGCACTGTGGTCTTCATTGGTAATGCTTTATAAGGGTAAGGACTCTTAAGTGATTTTTGTGATTATTGTGAATTGAGAGAGTAAGGACGCTTCACAGTGAATAAATCAAGAAGGAAGTGAGAAATTTTTGGATGACTGTCAGTAGATTTTATTTTAGCTTTCTTTGGATAAATTTTGCTCTCATTTATCTATTAATGTCCTAGAATATTTCTGAGTTCTGTTCCTCTTAAGACGCCTCTTTGACCCGTTTATTCCTTGGTTCATTGGTTCAAGGATGCCAACATCTGTTTAGTCATCACTTATTTCTTTGATTATTGTAGGAAACATAGGACGTCAGACCATCAATTCCAAGATAGAATGCTAGGATGGCCAAAATAACATCCTCAGTATTGGGAGCCTTGCCTTTTTAAATGTATTTTACGCATTGATTGCCTGAATTGATTTCAACATTTGTCTGGCTACTTTATGGTAGCTTCTTCCTTCTTCTCCCTTTGAATGCTTCTTAGTGTTGAGATATCAGTTCAAGAGGACTTTAGTCCGTAATGATATACGTAAAGCTTTTGTAAGGTACTGATCCTCAAAAAGGATTAATTCACCTCCTAGGCAGTTTATGAAAATACTTCAAAGACACTTTTGATTTTCACAGCAGGGATGGGATTTGGAAAGTGGCAATACTACTGATGTCTAGGGAAACTAGACTAGAGTCTAGGGAAACTGCTAACTATATATCCTGCAATGCACAGGACTACCCTCAACATCAAAGACTTACTTGGCCCAAAATGTCATTAGTGCTGAGGGCAGGAAACCTAGATTTAGGATATGCAGGTGGCTGTTTTTCCTTCCTCAACTCCAGAGGAGCTCTCAGGATTTCTTAAGAACAAATTCTGTTGGTTAGTTGATGTGCTGCCTTTGGCAGAAAGTATTTTTTTTATCTAGTCTATTACTTAAATATGAAGGCTGGGGAGATTCCTAAGAATTTCTGGATTCTGGAGAATTCAGGAGAATTTTGAAATTTAATAGTAGTTGTTTTTAAAAGTTGAGGAATATCATTGCTGAAAAAAGGGGCTGGTTTTCTTAGTGTTGTGAATTTGTGTTGGCAAAAAAGCATGTTCATGTCTTTTGGAGATTAAAATTCTTAAAGCAAGTGCCCCATCCTCAATTTTTAAGGCTCTTGTGAATCATTTGATGTAAGTAATTTGTTTCCTCTGATAATTGTTCTTCAGAATCTGAGTGCTTTCTCTAGGTTGGCAACATGTTTTGACTGTAACATAAATTCACATAAAACAACTGTAGGTGCCTTAATATTGTTATTTTCTGTGGAATCGTCCTTTTTATTTGACTAAAAAGTCTAAAGTAAGCAGTTCCCTAGTACCTACTGTATATAACTACAGTGGTTGAGAGATAAAGATTTTGTTTTATATTCTACCTAAAGCCTCAGAAAATTATTTAGGCTGTTTTGTCTTTAGATTTCTTGCAAATTTTAGTATTTAAATTGTAAGATAGGATTTCCACTTGATAATTAAGGAAAAGAGCTCAAAATTTCCAAATGTTGATACATGATATAATACTCATAGATTAAAATCTGTTTATATAAGGGCACTTCAAAAAGTTTGTAGAGAACTGTAATTAAGTTTACTTTTTTGGAGTAGAAAATTTTGAAATACATACTTATGCAGGATCATTAAAAAGTTCATTATGAACAAAAACTGCATTTTTAAAATATTTATTTATTTGAAGGCAAGGTTACAGAGAGAGAGAGATAGAGAGAGATCGATATTCCATCTGCTGGTTTACTCCCCAAATGGCCACAGTGTCTGAGGCTAGGCCAGGCTGAATCCCGGAGCCTCTTCCAGGTCTCCTCCTGGGCCCAGGCTCTTGGGCCATCCTGCTGCTTTCCTTGGAGCATCAGCAGACAGCTGGATCAGAAGTAGAGCAGCCAGGACTTAAACTGGCACCCTGTAAGGTAGCCTGTTAAGCATTAGAGGCAACTGCTTAGCCTGGTGTGCCACAATGCTGGCCTCAGTACATGGGTTTTAAATTTCTTTTGCCCCAAAATAAATTTATGTTTCAGTTCAATTTTTCTACAACCTGGTGGTTACTTAGTGTTACTTAATGGCCTGTTACTTATAGAACATTTCCAAGTATTCACTTTTTGGTATCACCATCATTAACAATACTCACAGTTACGGAAAGCACCGTGCTACTTCTTTCTCACTGACAAATTTGATGGAGGTATGGGAGTAAGTGTAAAGTATGAGTAACGTGGATTGATTAAATTGATAGTCTCCTTACAATCCTAGAAATTATCATTTTTGTAAATTCAGGTTTATTTTCTCTTTTGTATATGTGTTGAAGTAATAATGAATCATTGGCTAGTTATAGGTGAAGCTGTTTTTTACCTAGGTCTCATGTTTCTCAAATTTGTATTGTAGTGTCATTGGATGTTCTTTCTGAATGAATAAAGAGTGCTATATTGACTGGCGCCACGGCTCAATAGGCTAATCCTTCCCGCCTGCGGCACCAGCACACCGGGTTCTAGTCCTGGTCGGGGCGCTGGATTCTGTTCTGGTTGCCCCTCTTCCAGGCCAGCTCTCTTCTGTGGCCCGGGAATGCAATGGAGGATGGCCCAAGTCCTTGGGCCCTGCACCCCATGGGAGACCAGGAGAAGCACCTGGCTCCTGGCTTCGGATCAGTGCAGTGCGCTGGCCGCAGCAGCCATTGGAGGTGAACCAACGGCAAAAGGAAGACCTTTCTCTCTGTCTCTCTCTCTCACTGTCCACTCTGCCTGTCCGAAGAAATAATAAATCATAAGAAAAGAGAAGTGCTATATTACCATCTCAAAAATTTGGTGTTTTCTTTTGAAGATCAGTGACTTTTTCCTTCCTTCCTCTTCTCTTCTCTTCTCTTCTCTTCTCTTCTCTTCTCTTCTCTTCTCTTCTCTTCTCTTCTCTTCTCTTCTCTTCTCTTCTCTTCTCTTCTCTTTTTTAAGGTTTATTTATTTATTTGAAAGGCAGAGTTACAGAGAAGTAGAGGCAGAGTCTTCTATCTACTGGTTCACTCCCCAAATGGCTGCAATGGCCATAAATGCACTGATCTGAAGCCAGGAGCCAGGAACTTCATCAGGGTCTCCCATGCGGGTTCAGAGGCCCAAGCACTTGGGCCATCTTCTACTGCTCTCCCAGGTAATAGCAGAGAGCTGGGTTGGAAGTGGAACAGCCCAGTCTTGCAATGGCACCCATATGGGATGCTGGCACTGCAGGTGGCGGCTTTACCCACTAAGCCACAGCGCCGGCCCCTCCTTCTTTCTTTTAAATTAGACAGTGTGCGTTGATTTTTAGTATATAAAACCAGTTATAATGGATGAATCCCAAGTAATTTCACAGGAAGGATACACTTCCTTAAGAATAAAAAGACTAAAAAATTCAATGCGTTTGACTCTTAACACATGTCACATTTCTAAATATCTGATTTAAAAAAGAAATCACTAAATTGATGACATTGCAATTTGACAGATTACACAGATATACACAATGAAAATTTCCTTGTTTTTATTCCATAAAATTAGATACTGGCATTGATTATAGTTTTCATTTCTAGTTATTGGTTCTTAAAAATAAAGTATAAAACTAATAATAGGGAGTTCTTTATGATAATCGACATATTTTCCCTTGATCTTATTTATTAGTGTCCATTGTAAAAATGATATTTTAAAGTGTATTTTACTTTAAAGATGTTTTTCTTTCAGATCCTATGTAGCTTTTATTTAGACTGGTAAAGGAACAATTGAGAGATAAAACTAGGAGGATTATAATACTCTCTAGATTTTTGGGGGGGTTAAGAAGAGGGTGGGGGTAAGTGTGAGACAAGCTAAGGGAGAGACAGGAACCTAGATTCTATTATCTTCTAGAATTTGAGCTCCTCAAGGAAACTCTGGATTTCAGTTTCTGCCTTTTATCTTATCATTAGTCTTATACATATGGAAATGCATTAGTCATCATCATAGAATAATGTTTCTCAGTTGACATTTAGAATGAACCCACTTCGTTTTTTATGCTTCCTGCTATCAACAGGAAATGGAATAAATGAAGACCGTTGTTGCTAGTGTTTGATTTTTGCCATGGTTAAATATGTTGTCTCCATACTTTCTATACTTACAAATTTTACATCCTGTAGGATGTTTCTGTATAGAATTTTGTCCAGACCTATTTTTTTTTTAAAGATTTTTTTTTTTTTTTTTTGACAGGCAGAGTGGACAGCAGTGAGAGAGAGAGAGAGACAGAGAGAAAGGTCTTCCTTTTGCCGTTGGTTCACCCTCCATGGCCGCCGCTGCCGGCGTGCTGCGGCTGGCGCATCACGCTGATCCAAAGCCAGGAGCCAGGTGCTTTTCCTGGTCTCCCATGCAGGTGCAGGGCCCAAGGACTTGGGCCATCCTCTCCACTGCACTCCCTGGCCACAGCAGAGAGCTGGCCTGGAAGAGGGGCAA